CATATAGGGAGATTGTAAGGAAGGGAAACAGATAAGAGACTAAGGCATTTTTATGTATTTAATCCAAATGCATCTTAACTGAGTTGTTAAATTACCCGTACTAGCGATTAAAAACCCTATTGGTTATGTAACGTCCATAAGCTTCTTTCTCTCCATCTCTCTATGTTTTGGCTTATTGTCTGCCAGTAAAGTAATTGAAGCACTTGAAGCTTCTCCAAATACATTTTGTGTTTGGAGCTCATGAATTATAGTTTATAGTTTGCCTTCGTAGAAGCTAGGGCTCTTTGGTGTTTTCTTTTCTTTTCTTTTTTTTTCTATATTTCTTTCTTCTTAGAATAAAGTAAGTATAGACTTTGTCAGAGAAACTGCTTCTGTGGATGGGTAGCCTACAGTGGCTGGTATCTCTCTTCCCTCATTGTTTTATTTCCTTCCCTAGATAGGCTTTGCCACATTGAGAAGACATTTTATTCTGTTTGAAAAGTCTCAACTTTCCAAAGTTCCTAGAATCAATTTAATTTCTGTCTCCTGCCTTCATTTCCACTAAGGAGTGGCAGTAGAAGTGAAGCTATCTTAAGATATAAATGAAGTAGCTATTGAGTGATTACAGTGATTAATAATATTGCTTAGAATTAAGTTGTCATAACTGAAGCATTAGTCAAAAACTTCAACAGGAATTTTTCCTGCACTATTCTACCTTCTGTTTTAGGGCTTCCAGCTTTGGAGAGCTTGCTATATTTTAGAGCACCCTCTAAATGCTCAAAAGTTCTTTATTACATCAAGCTATGCTCTATTTTGTTATATATTCACGAATTTATACTAATTAAATATTGTTTTTCCCTGAGTTTTTTCTTTTCCTTTCTATAGAATATCAATACTCTCAACCATTTCTCATCTAAAATTCTTCCCAAATCTGTTACCATTCTTTTTGCCTTTCTCTGAATGCTCTCCGGTTTGGCATTGTGTTTTCTTAAATGTGGTAATTCTGGAACTAGGTAGAGTTCTTCCTACTTGAACTAATCAGCATATGCATAGCAATAGAGCCATTTTGTCCTTATTTATATTTCGTGTTTCTAGTAGCTTGAAATTCGTTAGCTGTTCACAGATTTTAAGTAGTTGGCTCAAGTTTGAGCTTATAGTTAGTGAAATCCCCTAGGCTTTTTCATTGAAAACCTATTAAGGTAGAGTTTTCTCTAACGAACCTTATTTCACAGTCTTATATTACATGTTGTTTTGATTACTATTAAAAAGCCATCTTTATTAATTTTGGTATTGGTTCCATTTTTGGAAAATGGATTTTCTGTTGGCTGGCTTTTTTTGTTTGTTTCTGTATGTAAACTATCAAAATTGAAGACAGAAAAAAAAATGTTGACAAGGATGTAGAGTAACTGGAATTTTCAAACACTGCTAATAGAAATGTAAATTGATTATGAATATATGCATACTCTATGATTGGCAATTTTACTCTTAGGTATACACCCAATAGAAACATGTTCATGTGTTCAAACAGATACGTATGAAAATGTTTATAGTAGCATTTGTAATAGTTAAAACTGGAAGTTACCTGAAGATCCATCAATGGTAAAATGGTAAATTGTAGTGTATTCTCACACTGTTGAAATTCTTAACAGTAATGAGAATGAATGACTAACAACTACATGCAATAATATGGATGGATCTCACAAACTTAATGTTGAATAAAAAATCACACACAAAAGAATATATATTAAGTTATTAATCTTTCACATTAGATGTCGGAATAACGGATTACCCTTGGTGGTGGGAAGCGAGGTTTGGTTAAAGATTACAAGAGGCTTCCGGAAGCTGGTAAAGTTCTGTTCTCGCTTCATATGCTGGCTACTTTGGTTTCATGAAAATTCATTGAGCTCTGTACTTAGAGTATATATACTTTTCCGACGTATATTGTGCTTCTATGATTTTTTTTTAAATAGAGAAAAAGTTTAAAGTAATAAATCTTAAATTATGCAAAATCTTCACCTATAGTTTTAAGAAGCACATCTTTATTTGACAAGAAATTAACATTATTTTAATTTAATGTGGATGATTATAATAGGTTCTTAGAGAAAATTCTTTTGATCACCTTAATTTACTTTTTTTATTTTTTCAATATCCCCTACAGCATTACTCGTCTTTCAGCTTTGTTTCCTTGAGAAGAACTGGGGGTTGGAGATGGTAATGGTTATAGAGCCAAGGGCACATTAATATTTTGTATTCATTATTACTCTGAAAATTGAAAACACTGATTATGATCTTGCCTTGTAATTTTTGGCTTTTATGAGGTTATTATGAAAGGAAACATATTTGATTCATATTATGAAAACAAACACTGAAATCCAAACCATGAGAAGATTGTTCTCCTAACTGACTTTCCAATAGATTCCATTTATAATGACTCACCATTTTATTTGGACCATTTTACCTTTTCTTAGGAAATAAGGACGTTGAGAATAATTCCCATGAAGAAACTGAGCAGTCCAATAACTGAGGCATTTTTGAATTTCACTGCTAACTAGGGGAAAATTATAAGTTTTTCACCTGTCTTTCAAATTTCATGTTTTGGAAATTTTATTGAAAAGAAATTGCAATCTATAGATGTAGTCTTTAAAATTAGATATTATGTTTAAGTGCTGGCAAGGATGTGGAACAACTGGAACTGCCATATATTGCTTGTGGGAATGCAGAATGCTACAGCCATCTTGAAAAACAGTTTGGCAGATTCTTATAAAGCTAAACTTACATTTACCATATTGATTCAGGAGTCCCACTCTTGGATATTGGTAGTAGTGAAAATTAAATTCATGTAAAAACCAATACACAGTTGTCCATAGCAGCTTTATTTGTGATGGTCACAAGATGGATTCACTGTAAAAAATAACAAACTATTAATACCCGTAACACTTTTGATGAATTTCTAAGACATACTGAGTGAGACAAGCCAGCCTCAAAAGGTTGCATTCTGTGATTCTATTTATTTGACACAAGGCAGAGCACAAGAGACTTTTTGGGACGATGGAGAGTTGTCCTGTATCCTGATTGTGGTGGTGGTTACACATGTGTTAAAACTTATACACCAAAGGAAAAAAAGTTATTTTTACTTTTTTGTGTGATAATTTTTTTAAAAATAGGTGATATGTGTAAACAAGAGTTTGTTTTTACTGTGGTCCTGGAGTTTTTACTCCTTTTACCTGTTTACCTAACAGAAAGAAATTGTTAAAATTACTGAGCAGTCTGTTTAACTACTTCCAGAGCCTTTTGTTGTGTAGTTGTTAAAATCCATAGTTAGTATTACATCCTTTCTAGTTAGTGGAGAGAGATTGATGGAGGAAGAATGGCTTCTGTCAAATTAAGAGTGTATAATTTGAATGTTTTATTTAATGGTTTTTCCCTATGATCACTCAGTAGAGTATATAAAACTTGTCTTTTAACTAGGCTAAAACTTAGTAAGCTAGTGAAATGTCACTATGTGGATTCATCTAATGGCAAGATAGACATAAAGGTACACAACAAGAATATGGCTCATGGTGTGTCTTTTTTTCTTGCTCTTACCATGCCTTGTGATTTTTTTCCCCCCTTACATTTCTTCTGTATCCCTTTAACTGATTTCAGTAAGGAAATGTAGAGTGAGTGAATGTGTGTGTGTGTGAGTGTGTGTGTGTGTGTGTCTGTGTGTGTGTGTGTGTGTGTGTGTGTACACATACATACATGTAAGTTTTTATGGAATAAAACGATGTTTTCATATTTTCATAAGACTTCTGTGTATTGTTTTCATCCAATGGGAAATAAAGCCAAGTAACTATTGAACAAATATTTATTGATTACTTTGGCATATAGGGGATATAACAGTAAACTAGCTGAAAGTTGTCCCCTCATTCAGCTTACATTGTCATTTCATGCACTTGCGGAGTGAAGAAGAGCAGTATGACATTCTGAGAATTGATTTTCATCCTGACATATTTTAGACATCCTAATTTCTGTCAAATTATAAAGATTGTTGAATGCATTAAAATTTTTGCCAGGTCGATAAAGAACAATTATTTCTTCAGATTCAGCCTATATTCTCTATATTTGTATTAGGAGAGTATAGAGGCTTTCACATTCCAAAATTAATGAGGAATGTGATAATAATAATCACATAGCATTGGTGAATGGGCCGATTATGTGTCATTGTATTTGTAGTTTAATAGTTTTTGTCATGGTGAGTAGAGCAGCAGTTAACTTGGCTAAAAAGCATGCTTATGAATTATGTAAGGTGATGTAATGCTTACAAACAAGTGGTGTCACATATTTAAGAAAATGCTTGATGTAATATATGGCTTATTGTTAAAGTGTTTATTTCCTCCTCCTAGGAGAAATCTCAATTATTTTTCCAACGCCTATGCAGCTGCAGTTAGTGCTGTGGATCCTGATGCAGGAAATGGAGAACTTTGTATTAAGGTTCCGTCGGAGTTATGGAAACATGTTGATGGTAAAATACTAAAAATATACTGATTGTGAAATAAAATCATGTTCGATTCAGTGGCTAGAACTTTTATATGAAAATTAATAATGTCAAAATTATAAATTAATCAGCTGAAATACACACAAGTTTTCTCCCCCCTTATTGAGCATAAGCAAACATGAAAATAGCAATTAAGGGCTGTGATAACCATGTTTGTTTTGTTTATTTTTTAGAATTTTTATAAGGTTTTATTTGAGTCAAACATAAGGAGAAAGGAGCGTGATCTCAAATGCTTCTCACTGTTTTTTTTTCCTCATTTGTTTTTAAAGTGAATCTTAGAGAAAAAATTTAGATGGGTGGAACAATTTGTAAAGATTTAAGAACCCACACAATATCAAATCAGTTTAGAATTATAGCATTTTATAGCAGGAAGAATCCTAAAAAATCTTCTGGTTTAATTCTTCCCCTTTACATAAGAGTCACCTGAAGTCCAGAGAGAGTAAGTGACCTGCTAAAGGTCATTAATTAGTACTAGAGTCAAGGCTAGGACATAGATTTTCTAACACTTACTCTGCATACTTTCGAGTATCCAGTCTTATTTCTAAATTTTTATTTTCTTTTGTATAAAGTTATAGTCATTATAATTATTATATATAACCTTCTGCCTGCCTTTATTTAGCCTTATAAAAATTAACCAAGACAAGGAAGTAAAAGACTTTTCGTTTTGTTCATGCTTATTTTTGGTAGTTTTTGTGTGTGTATGGGGGGATTTTTTTGCGGGGAGGGGTTTGCCCAGCTTAGGCCCGAAAGGTTCATAGATTAGAGATAGTCCGTATGGTTATAATGTTTTAGAGGAAATTAAAAGAAGCATCTTTTAATCTTATTATGAAAGCAGCACATTATGTAGAAGTCAAAACATAATAAATAATGCTTAATGTAAATTCTCGAGTAGTCTTTCCTATCTGCCCCAGACTTCACTCCTTCACCTTCTCTCCAAAGGCACCAGCTCCTCAGCATCTGTGGGGAATGTGATAAGAGAACAAACTTTAATAGTAAGTTTTGAATTGGATCGAGTTTTGAATTTTTTCTTTAGGCAGTGTAGTGTGTCAGTAATGTCGACAGGAGGATATGGCATAACCAAGCTATATTTGGGGGAACACAGGTAGCAGTACTAGAGTTAAGTGGAGGTGTAAGGACATGAGTGAGGGCAGGCTATTGAGTAATGTAGGTGGAGAAACGGTGGAAGTCTGAACTAGGTTAAGTAATGTGTTTTTTTCATGTAAAACAGCCTTTGATTCCCATTTTATGTTCAGTGTAAGTCTGCCACTATTATATAGACCACTATTACTTAATTATATATTTATATAGCAATATGTCTGTTTATTTGTTGCAGAATTAAAGGTCTTGAAGATACACATCAATTTTTCTTTGGATCAGCCAAAAGGAGGTCTTCATTTTGTGGTGCCCAGTGTAGAGGGAAGTATGGCAGAGAGAGGTGCTCATGTTTTCTCTTGTGGGTATCAAAATTCCACAAGGTAGATTATTAATTCTTATGTATTTCAGTTAATTTCATTTTTCAATTGCATTTTTTCTATGTATATATAGTACACATGTTTAATGGAAAAGTACCAGTTCAATCCCCCAAATTTCTGTGTCATCTGAATCCTGTTTCATTAGTCAGTCATTCCTTCTCAGTCTTGTCTTCCTCTCCTTTTCAAGTCTCCTGTTCTGAAATCATCTCCATTCTTTTTTTTTAACTTTATATTGAAGTAAACATAGAAAAGTACAGAAGTTTTAAATAGTATACAAGCTCAATAAATTTGCACAAGTGAGCAAACCCATGTAATTCACACTCAAATCAAGAAAAAGAACATTACCAGCATCACAGAATCCTCCCTCCCATCCACTTCCATTCACTCTCTCCACCTGTTATTCTGCCCAAGAGCAACCACTATCCTGATTTCTAAAATACCATAGATGCACTACTCCAGTTTTTGAACTTTATATAAATGGAAACATATACATTATGCTTTTTACATCTGGTTTTTTTGTTGGACACTATGGTAGTGACATTTACCTTCATTGTTGTGTATAATTGTAGTTCTCATAGCTCTGTGGTTCACTACACTGATAGTGAACTATAATATTAATGATATTATTGAAATATTATTTTATAATATTTTCTCCTCAAATTATTAACTCCTCCAATCCAAGGATGATGTTTTATACTTCTTTTGTTTCAATACCAAGTACAGATCCTGGCACTAATAAAACTTGATCTTAATTGGTAGAAAGTTGTATACAAATTTTATGTCTGGCTTTACCAGCACTGTTTGAATTTATACAGTGCATCATATACTTTAAAAAAGCAGTTTCCGAACTTATGGAATAGATTCTGAGTATTAGTTGTGTTTTTTAAAACTGTATTATAAGCTTTTTTAGTTTCTGGAAATGAATGCTACGTAAAAACTGACTAATGTGAATAAAGAAGTGAAAATTATTTTTAATTAAAAAATTGGAAACTAAAAATTGCTTACTTCTTTTTTAGAGTTTAAACTGAAGGTACCCTATGATATATTTTCTTAATATTGCCAAATATTTGCAGTCAGATTTCTGTAATCAAATTCTTTCAAGTTGCACAGTAAAAAACTTTAGTAGGCAAATAGCTAAAATTCCTTTTTGTATATAATTTATAAATGTTAAAATAACTTTTACAAGGGCAAAACAGCATAGGTTATACTTTCAACATATTTTCTGTCCTGTTCTGTTTTCTAGATTTTGGTTCCCATGTGTTGATTCATACTCTGAACTATGTACGTGGAAACTAGAATTTACAGTGGATGCTGCAATGGTGGCTGTTTCCAATGGAGATTTGGTGGAGACAGTGTATACCCATGATATGAGGAAGAAGACCTTCCATTACATGCTTACTATTCCAACAGCTGCATCAAATATATCCTTGGCCATAGGACCTTTTGAAATACTTGTAGATCCATATATGCATGAGGTATGGCTTCTTGCTCCTTTCTCTGCTTTCACCTTTTTATTCTTGATAGAAAGAAGGATATTAAAGAAATATTGTTTTTCTGAACTCTTTTAACTATCAAGAATATCACAAGAGCAAAAAGGTTTCCCTGATACGTTTAATGACATTAATTCCCGAATGAAGTCCTTTCAAAATGTTGTCATATTAAACTTTCAGATTTTTTTCAAGAGAGGGCTTAGCATTCCAAAAGAGCTTCAGGTATGCGTTCATTAGAGTATAGGTTGGTTTCTGTAATTCTATTAATTATTATTGTCATCTTTTTGTTTGGCATATGTACAATTGTTTTAGTTCCATCCCTGGAATCTGAAAAATTGCAATTTCAAAGTTAAAGAGCAGGATTTGTTCTCATTTCAGTATAAATCAAGGAAAAGAGAAAAACCTGAGGCAGTGATAGAATTCTGGTCAACAAACTCATGAAAGCTTCTTCTAGTTTCTTCGCATTCTATATCTTGCGACAAATCATATATCAGTCGGTAGGCTAAATAGTGCTTTTAGGCCTCCTCAAGCATGCCACTTCTGGTGGTTAGAAAGTAATTCATTGCTTATTGACCCTCTGGGCTACTGCACACGATTAAAGCAACATTTGAATGAATCTCTTTTTGTTTACTATTAGTCCTTTATGCTTTCAATTTTATTTATTTTTTTGATATGAGGCTTATACTGTGACCATATATTATCTCAACAGCATTTTTTTGAGTAATGTGAGCAGAAATTGAGGGCAGCCAGGTTTAGACTGTTGGTGAGCTCCTCCGTCTGCTCTTATATTTGCTTTCCTGAAATTCACAAGATTTTAAAAATCACTCATGGAAAATATTCAAGATATTTGCTTTTACTGTCTTGACAATGTCTCTTAAAAGTGTATTCACTGATAAGATTGGCAGTATTTTTCTTGTCTTTGGTAAATGATCAACTTTAAAATCATTTGATTAGTACCTACTTTGTGTTTTGGAAGAAATTTTTGTTCCCCACTCTGTCATTGGATGAGGGGAAAGGTAAATGAAAGTTAAGAAGTATTTTTCTTAAATACTTAGAGCACATTACTTAGTCTTTCTGGGTCTCAAATAGTTTTAATTTTTACTATGTTATCTTCAGATTTGATGTCGTGTATGTTTGTCTGAAAGTGAATCTTTTTTGATGAATAATATTTTATTTTTTGTTTGTGTACCAAGAGTACACAAACAAAATACTAATACTAATCATGATGCATTTTGGTCCCTGCCCATTAATAATACATAGATGTCCATCCCTCACTATTATGGTAGTCTCTAGTTTGCTCTTTTATTATGCTTTTAAAATGATAGTTTTTATCATACGTTTAAACTTTCCTTGCCTCCACAGTCTTGCAATAATCAGAGCTCTTTAGCATAGTTTTCAAGGTCTTCTAGAATTTGACCCTAATATTCCTTTCTAGCTTTTTTCTAATTACTTTCCTATTTATATTTGTATTATTCAATATAGTTTACTTAGGTTTTCCTGATTATACCTTGCTTCTTCCTTTCTCCGACATTATTTGAGATATCTTCTTTTCCTCTCCTTACCTGTCAGACTTCTGTTCAATGCAAAAAGATTAGCTCTAATTCAGTCTCCTGCATGAAACCTTGCTGGATCATTCTAGTAAGAGTGATCTGTCATTGTTAATGCTGTTCATTTGACACAGAATCGTGAGATGATATATGTGTTGTGTCCAGGGTGTGAGATGTAGCCTAGTAAGGAAATCAGAATTACTATTTCTGTTGTAGGAATTTCTTCTCTCTTAAATAGCAGGAAGCTTCCCTGCAGCTTTCAACATGTAGTCAAGATAGTGGAGGAGGACTACAGTAATTTTTCTTTATGTGTAGAAAAGATAGTATGATAACAATTAAGATAGTACTGTGATGTGCCATATTCACTAGGTTAGATATTTATGAATCAAAGGTAGATCTACAATAAGTCTTGGAAATGTAAATCTTTCTTTTGTATGCATAGACAAAAGAAATTTTAACTTAATTTGGAACCAGAGTTTTATTTTCATTAGTTGTAAGCATTTCACAGACTTATAATCCATCATGAATTTAATTTTTAAGTACAGTAAATGTTTTGTAAATACAGTCAGTAAGTAATCACTGATTTCAAACCAGCATTTTCTTTCATTACCATGAATTTGTAAAAAAAAAAAAAAAGGGATTTACATGAACATTTATTTATAATTGAGATATTTAGCAAATTTAAAAAATTAAAGTTAACTTATTTAATTATCTTTTTCCTTGCTTTTTATTTTCAGGTTACTCATTTTTGTTTACCTCAACTTCTTCCATTACTTAAACATACTACATCATATCTTCATGAAGTTTTTGAATTTTATGAAGAAATCCTTACATGTCGATATCCATACTCCTGTTTCAAGACTGTATTCATTGATGAGGCTTATGTTGAAGTGGCTGCTTATGCTTCCATGAGCATTTTTAGGTTGGTATTTATTCAAATTTGAAATGCTTAAATTAGGGTAATGATGTGAAGACAGGTTATTTTATGATCAATTTTAAGATGTATTTTGAACTTTTTTTGTTTAATCTAAATATGGTTGGCTTTGTAGAAAATCTAGTGTTTTTAAAATTAAGAAATGTATGCAAGGAAAAAGAAGAAAATTTTAGAATAACCCAAAAGACTCATACTGTCTTTATCCAGAATTGACTGATAATAATATTTAACATATTTTAGTCTCTTTTCTGCTTATGCAATTTAAAAAAGCATACAAGTAATTCTGTGGAAAACTAATGAAGGTTTTTTCTTATCACTATTTAAAAATTTAATATTGTCAACTTTTTTGTAAGAAAAAAGAAAGAGAGAACTTTATTTTCTTTCTTTTTCTACTTTCTTTACCTTCCTTCTTTCTTTCATTCCTTGAAAAGTTCTAAATTAAAAAATTTCATGTCTCAGGGTCATTTTACCCTTTCTGGACCTAAATTTTCTCCTCTGTGAAAAGAGGATAATAATATTGCCTCTGCATTCTCCAGCGTTGTTAGAAATATCTGATGAATCAGTGTATATTACAGTAAATAATAGAGCATAAAAAGTTAATAGCCATTCAGAAAAGATGTTTGAAATTAGAAGAGCCTTTCACAGGAATATCAGTTCCTGATTAGTGATGTTTCCTCCTCCCCGCAAAAAAGGTTTTTATATTTTTTATGGAAATCGGTGGGAAACATCGCAGTCTCTGCTTTAAGCAAAAGTTTTCAAGGTTATGGATTTCAGCTAAATTGTGAAAAGATGCAAGAGCTCTTTAGGAGAATATTCTATTTTTTCTCTTTTATGCTAACTTAAATTTTATTATTTTAAATGTGTGATTATTTTATTTTGACTCAATAATTGTTTGTTTCTTGGTTATAATTATCTGAGTCTTCTTTTAATTTCCAGCACAAACCTGTTACACAGTGCCATGATTATAGATGAGACACCTTTGACTAGAAGGTGTTTAGCTCAGTCCTTGGCTCAGCAGTTTTTCGGATGTTTCATATCCAGAATGTCTTGGTGAGTAATTTCAAAGTTTACAACCAATAAATAAAAGGAATTGAGAAATTTTGTTTTTATTTTCTTTTCCTGCAGTATAAGCTGACCTTTGTCCTAATGGCAGGTAGTTAATATAAAAGACCTTACTCTATATATATTTAAAGAAAAATCATGAGTATAAATTTCATCCTAAATTTTTGGCCATGAATTCAATATAGTTAGTTCTGTAATTTGCATTAAGGATAAGGTAAGAATTTTGATAGCAACAGTTTCCTAAAAACTGAATGAATACTATAGATAAAAAGGACTTCAATGTTAGAAAATTATGGTCAAAATTCTAATGTCAATGTTTAGTGCAGTTGGTAATCTTCAAGATAATGTTTAAGGTAAAATAGTGGTCTTCTATAATAGTGATAATGAATAGTGAAGTTCCTGCTGGTGCCTAGCTTTGTATTATTTTACTTGAAAGATGTGGGAGACAACAATTTTTATTTTTATTTTTTTTATTAACTTGAGGTAAATTTGAAGAAATATACAAGACTTTTATGATTATATTTTATAATTGTGATCATTCTGTGCTATAAATAGTATGTGAATATTGTTGTTTTTTTTTTCCTTTCTTGTTGGAGGGGAGAGGACAGAGTGTAAGCCTTTTGATTTGTACTTTCCCTAAAATTACATAGTTTCATTAAAAAAAAGGTGCCTGGAACATGATAACCAAAATGTTTGAATGAACAAATGAATGAATGGATAAAGAAACAAATAAATAAATGAATGGTGTCATTTGTCTATCCTCTTTAGAAACTAAAAGATAAATTAAGTAATTAAACTTTAGGTCTTAGACTCCCACTGATAACTATGCATGGGATTAACAATAATAGAATATGGACTTTAAGAATTCAACAGTATAGTCCTGGCTATGAACAAGTTTTTTTTTTTTTTTTTTAGATGCAGGCAATATCGATAGAGTTGGGCAAGAATGAAGCAGCACTGCCAGAGTAGAGCATAAACATAGGTACATTATACTTGAATAAGACTGTAAATCAGTCTTATCATTAAAGCTAGATATAAAGAAAGTATAAGGAATGGACAAGTAGAACTCAGCTGGAGGAAATGAGAAAACCAAATAATTTATTAATAACTGATTTTCTTTAAGAAGGCAGAGAAGTACATATTACACTTGTTCTGTTATCCTCTTATCTGAAGAATTTTTATGATTAAAAGTTTTATTTTTACTTTTTGCTTAGGTCTGATGAATGGGTGCTAAAGGGAATTTCAGGCTATATTTATGGACTTTGGATGAAAAAAACTTTTGGCGTTAATGAATACCGCCATTGGATTAAAGAGGTAAAAATAGCTCCATCCATTATCCTCTTAGCAGTCAGTAGACATGTTAGTGTTCACTTGATTTCCAAGTTGTGTGTCCTTTATTTTTAATAATTGTTAAATACTTACTGTCATTTAAAAGTCTTAAATTTTTTTCCAGTAAACTGAGAATCACTTTACTGAGTTTTATCTAGTTTCCATTGTCAGTGTTGGCCTCCAAAGACTTTTTGCTAAGGAAGAGAATATTTAAGGTCCTTAAACATCAGGTTAGTCGTTAAATATATCCCAGCTCCTCATAGTAGTCAATTTTAATGTATCTCTGTGCTTCCTGAATTTGTTAGGACGTAGAGCTCAAGTGCTGGAGTCAGATTGCTTTTCAGTTTGCCTCATACATTTACAAGCTTTGTGACTTTGGTTAACCTTCTAAGCCTCATCTGTATAAAGAGAGTAGTAGTATCTACTGCATGGACGGGGATCATGAAACATCTTATATGTGATATGTGTGGTGCTTTGTACGTAGTAAGTGCTTATTGTGTGCTGACTAGCCCTTCGGTGCATTAATGCTCTGTCATCGTCACATCTTTTTCTTATTATTTTAAGATTTGGCCCACAAGAAAAAATCAATTGTATTTTGCCTAGCCTATTCTGTTTATGTACATACACATTTTAATCACATCATGCTGAGCATCTGCCTTCTCAGGTGGGAAAATTTCAGCCTTTAATTTCCTTATTAAATAGACTCCTCCATCTTTTCCCTTTTCTCATTTTATATGTCTTCATCATTCAGACCTGAACTTAAATAAGCCAAAAGTAATTTTAAAGATTTCAAACATTTAGAACTATAAAAGAATTCCTACATCTAGAATTGGAAGAGTCTGTTCATTTAAAAAACTACTAATGAAGGGGAAAAAAAAAACATAGCACTTACCATGTTTTGAGCACTGTTATAAACATTTTATAAATATTAATTATCTTAATCCTTCTAACTACTCTCTTATTATCCCCATTTTACAGATGAGGAAACTGAGACACAGAGAGGTTAAGTTATTTGGCCAAAGTTACACAGCTAGTAAGTAGTAGAGCCAGGATTTAGACCTGGCTTTTAACCACTTCACTATGATTTTTTTTACCACTTCTCTATTCTGCTCATATATTATTTAATCTAATCATGAATTTCAGCACAGTGGTGTTGTCTTTTTTTCACTTAAGTTTTTTTTTTTATTTTGATGTATGTCATATTAGAGAAGACTGGAGAGTTTTCAAATGATAGATTCCTGACATAATTTTATTCCCATTTCTTTTTATTTGCCCAAATCCTCCATCAGAAGGAAATACAAAGAAGGAAGAAATAAACTTGGAAAACTGGTCAGAGAGGTTGGGAAGGGCCATTAGGAACATTTGCTAGGCTGCTGGCCAGCCCTGAAGTCACAAAGTAGAGAAGGTCTTAGGTTCTATCCTTCAGCCAGCTGTGTAGTCCACTTTGTTTATAAGAACATAAACTACTCTCCAAATACATTTAATTTCTTTTAGGAAATTTACATTCTAATTCCAATAAAAGAGAAATTACAGTTCAGTTTTAAATTTGACATGTAAAAAACTTTTCACTGACCTCTGTTTTTATCTGTTTTTAGGAGCTGGACAAAATAGTGGCATATGAACTGAAAACTGGTGGAGTTTTACTACATCCCATATTCGGTGGAGGAAAAGAGAAGGATAAGTATGTTATTGTTCAGAGATGATATTATAAACCTTGTTATATGGGATCAGTCTTTTAGGATCATTTGTATGTGCGTTGAGGCCCACGCAGACCAGAGAGGCAGTAGTGATAATGGTAGGTAATAATACTGAGGCCACAAACACTGGTCATTTTCTCACTATCCCTTTCATTACTGTTTTTGTTGCATGTGATAGCTGTAAATGGATATAAACATTAAAAAAAGACTCTTAAAAATATAATACTTCTGTTTTTTCCATGTTAATTTCCTAATGCTATTCTATCATACTATACTCTTAAGTTTTAAAATAATGAAAACAAATGTTTTGTTTACATACCACTGATTATTTTAAGTCTAAGTAGATAATTTCAACATTAAGATATCCAGTTTATACCTGTTTATTTGAGTCTTCACCTATCTAGATGCATATTTACTCTTTCCTTTTTTCTTTTTATTTCCCTCCCTCACCTTCCTTCCTTTATTTCTCACTCTTTTTTAGCAAGTCACTTAACCATTAACTGAAACTTACTTTTTCTTTACTTATGAATGTAGGCAAAAGATGGGGCTTTGATATTGTCAGCAACAGAAATCATGAATATTTTCCTGTCACATTGTAATTGTTAACAGATATCTTGACATATTCTCTGCACTACCCCCAAAAATACTGCAGTAGACCACTGCAAGATCTTGTTATATAATGCATTAATAAACTAGCATATATATTGTTATATCCTAATTTTTTTTAATAAGTGCATTTCATTATAATTGGGTTTTTTTGGTAATTCTATAAATTTTATTTTGTTCATTTTAAACCAGTTTTTCAGATGGAGTCCATGGGATTAACCAGAGTGCCCAAGTGTTTAAAAGCACAACAAAGGTTCAGAAACTTGAAATTATATAACCAGTGACCTTTTCTTTGTTGTAGCATGGTCACTGAGACAAGATTAAGTCAGTGGAAAAGCGCAGGCATTTGGAGTTAGACAGACTAGGATTTTTATCGTTATTAGTTTTTGTGATCTAAGAATTGTGTACCCTTTCAGAGTGTGTGTGTGAATGTGACAATGCGTAAGGTGACAGTGATGATTCATCTTAACCTTGTTGGTTGTGAGTATTATTTGAGATAAAACTTCATAATATATAGGATCAGTGAGTGTTAGTTCCTTCCACTTTTTTCTCCTGGCCGCCTGCAATGTGGCAGTTTCCTAATGTATAATTAGAGCATTGCCATTGTGTGTAAATATTTACACTGAATACTTTTACCTTGGTTCTGCCCATTTATTTAGTTCTTGTTTTATGTTTAATTTTTTGAATTGTGTATAAAAGCAGCACATGGGTACTTTGTTCTTTGAAGAAATTCAAAACAAGACAATTTAGAAGCATGCAGAGTAAAAAGTAAAAGATTATTTTTAGCCCTCTTTTGCCATCTCTCACTCCCATCAGTTCCTCTCCTTGGAGATAACCATGATTACAAATTTGGCATATTATCTTCTAATATGGACTTTTTTGGCCTTTCTTTATGTGTATATGGCATTTACAACATGTAATTCACTCATATGCATATTACTTTTTTGTTGTTAAATTAACCAGATCTATATATTCTAGCAGGCATTCCATGTTACTATACATAAACTTACTTTGTTCTACTCAAGAGCTATATAATATTCCATTATACCTTGGAAGTTATTTAGCGTTTTCCATATTGCTGTGCATTGCTAAAGTTCATAAGCTTATAAGGCTCATTAGCTTGGAAGTAATAGGTGAAATATAATAATTTTTCAAATATCAAATTGACAAATATTTTAAATTTCAATATGCCACATTTTTAAGGAAGTATAGTGACTGCTTTTATACATTGATTCTGAGTATAACTTGTTTGGTACAGTGATTTTGAAAGATAATTTTTTCATACCAATCAAAATTTAAAACTTTAAAAATTTTGATTGTTAATTTTTAGATTCAAGAAATCTACTTCTAGGTATGTTATCATAGAAATTCTAATTCTAGATGTTTGTTATACAGAAATACTCGCTCATGTATAAAAAAATACTACAGCATTATTTGAAATAGTGGAAAATTGTTAACACCTTACATGTACATATAAGTCATTAATATTTTCTATTAGACCGTACCTTTCTTTTAATTTATTGATGATCTCTTTTATCATGTCAGAATTTTTAATTTTTTAGCATAGTCTGGTGTTAACGTCATCCAGATTTTATATTTTCCTTTGGAAGATTTTTCCCACTCCAGAATTATGGAGAGCATTTTTTAAATTTCATTTTCGTATAGTACTTTTATAATTGTTTTTGTTTTAGATATGTAATTCATCTTGAAATGATTGGTGTATATGCTTTAATCTTGGGCTATTGATTGGAATTGGCATTGATGTATTCATGAATTTGGAATACATTGAAATATTTATACTATTGTGTCGTTCTAGCTAGGAGCTTAGTGTGTGTTTCTATTCAAGTTTTTTTAATGTCCTTTCATAAAACTTAATAATTTTTCTTCCAATTAAGTTTATTTTTAGATATTTTCTAGTCTTTGTTATGGTCATACTAGGGAAATTACAAGGTATTCCCATGAGGATTTTAATTTATTGTCTTGATGTGGCCATAGCATATAGTATTTATTTAGTATTCAAATTATTATAATACATACACTGTTTATTTTTTAGTCCGGCTTCCCATCTACACTTTTCAATAAAGCATCCCCATACACTCTCCTGGGAATACTACACTATGTTTCAGTGTAAAGCTCACCTTGTGATGAGATTGATTGAAAATAGGATCAGTATGGAATTTATGCTACAAGTAAGTATTATAAGAACTTAACAATTATAAAGAAAGATCTGTTCTGTATTTATATAATCTGAAAACTATTCTGTAGGATAGGAATCAGGGCATCTGGGTTTACAGCTAGAGTTCTATTACTCAGCTGCTTGCTCACCAAGGAACCTGTGGTTTTTGTTTATATTTTTTCAATGATAGAATGGATATCGATACTTGATCCACTTAGTAGTACTGGATTATTATGAAGATAAAATTAGAATGTGTGATTGAAAGTAAAACCTGTTTATATGATTCTGTTTGGCATTATTTAGAATATTAAGAGTTAAATGCCATTTAAAAATGTTTCAGTAGAAAAAAGCAGACTATGTAAAAGATGTTTATTTTTGCTACTGCTAAATGCTGCTATATATTTTAAGCACATTTTGGTGTAAGTAGTTGAGATATAATAGTTAAGGTAGTAGAAACCAGATACGTTATAAATGTTCAGCTATTTTTTTCCATTAATAACATTCTTAAAGGTGAGTGAAAAATAACTTTTTAGTAATCTTTTTAAAAAACATTTTACATTTACCCTAAAATTAAATTGCTTTAATCTTTCTGTCCTTCACCTTACTTTTAGAGTAAAGAAGAGAAGTATTAAATGAGAGATGGTCCATAAAGAGGCAGTCAGCTTTTTAGGGTGGTATAAATCCTAAACTATTCTCAACTTATTAAATAATGTTAGTTTCTATCTAAAGCTTATAGCACAGTAAATTATAGGTATTATATTATTATAATTATTCAAATACAATATTCATTGTCCATGAGATCAGTAAAATTCAATTATGTTTAGAGGAAGAATGGTTTTATAGTCTAGCTATGCTTCTGCTAGTAGTCTTTGACTAGAACGGTCTAGGTAGTAAGATGTGAAATTATTGTCTTCTATAATTGACTATAATATAATGTTATGCATTGTGGGTATAGTGCACAATTAAAAGCAATGTATGTATTATGTTAAGCAGACTTACTAAATAACACTTATCCTTACAGGTTTTCAATAAACTGCTAAGTTTGGCTAGTACTGCTTCATCTCAGAAGTTCCAGTCACATATGTGGAGTCAGATGTTGGTTTCCACATCTGGGTTTTTGAAATCCATCTCAAATGTCTCTGGCAAAGACATTCAGCCTTTAATAAAGCAGTGGGTGTATCCTTTTAAGTAGCAGTTCAACAAAGTCGGGATGGGAATAAGGTTATGAGTGTAAGGAGAAGGAGGAAGAAAAAGAATTTGGGGTATAAAAGAAGGTAAGAACTATTTGAATTTCTAAATAATAGTAAATACACAGACACACACACCCATATTTGTAAAATTTGGCATATTTTGAAGTACTTTTTAGCATGTGAATACAGCGATAGTCTTGATGACAGGGGAGGTAAATAATCCACCAGACAGACCTGTAGGGCTACTTATGAGATGCAGTGGTCTGGTGACTGTTAAGATGTGGTTAGAGGTTGGCACAAGTTGAGTGGTATCTTAGAACTTTGCGGTTTTTACATTTTCTCATTTAACAGCACTGTTAATAACCCAGTAGAGTGATTTTGCTTCTTGCAAAACAAATTTCTTAATGTTTCAGAAATTTTGTTTAAATCTGGGAAAACATTTTTCATAAGAATTTTGAATACTTTGCCACCTGGTTTACAATGAAGTATGCACTCAAGCTTTGAACTGGTGGGAATGCATTTGAAAATTATTACTAATATAACATTTTTTAATATACGTATTTATTTTAGTATGCTAAAATTCCTTTACAATTCTTCAGAGACCAGAGTGGAGTGGTAAAATTTTATGGAAGTTTTGCATTTAATAGAAAACGAAATGTTTTGGAATTGGAAATAAAACAAGATTATACATCTCCTGGAACCCAGAAATATGTGGTAAGTTTTTTTCCTAAATGGCCTTTTGCATTGCTTTTTCCTCAATTTCAGTATAGGAAGGGCTTATGGGTAGGGAGCTGGTTAGAAGTTTCATAGTGAGATTTTGTTTGCAACAAATGAAATTGAGAAAACAAGTATCAGTGATGGAAAGAGGGGTTACGGGTGGAGATGGAGAGTTCAGGGGACACAGATTTCCCCAGTTCTCTCCTCCTTTGGCACCAGCTGTCTTTCTGTGTCTCCAGATACATATCTCATATAGTGTTATTTTATATTTTGATGTATATACCTATACACTTAAGACTATATGTTGGTATTTTTCTAGCACTATTTTTGAATGGTATATTTCTTTTTAAAGGGACCACTTAAAGTGACAGTGCAGGAGTTAGATGGATCCTTCAATCATACATTACAAATCGAAGAAAACAGCCTAAAACATGATATACCCTGCCATTCCAAAAGCAGAAGGTAAGCATTGAATCCTAATTACAAATTGAAGTTTAAAGTTAAATTGTAAGTATCACAGATTACAATGCCAAAATAAAAATCCTAACGTACACCTAATTTTTGGTAGAGAACATGTTATATAACATTCTTTATTTGCTTTCTGTTCTTGACAACATTTTTATCTTTACAATTAAATAATTTTTACAATCTCGATTTAGAATCCTTATTTTGTAGGGGTAGAGGAGGTGGAATGGAGTTTGAGTTTTGGGAGCCAGGAAAAATTCAAGGCAAGTTGCTTAGGTTCATTTTCATTTGTCTCATTGGATTCATATCTACAAGAAATATTGGGGAAATGATCATTGGCTCTAAAGGAAAGAGTCATGAAAGTCCTTGCATCTACACTATGTGTCTTTTTCCTTTTTCTCTATATCACCTTGCCAGTTCAGAACATTCTTGATGTCTTTCAAAGGAACATTGCCAGTTTACTTAAAAGATTCCAACAGTTCATCTTTTATTTAATATATTTTTTTCTTTACCACTCTTTTTTTAACTTGACCATTAGCATATACTCTGAATAGTAAAGTAAAAGATGAGAACATTTTTGCACTTTGCTGGAGAAAGGTATAGTTATATCAGAATTTCAGGACCAGAAGTCTTATACTCATGAGTACACTTAGGTCATTTCAGACAGATGAGAATGTCTCTTGATTTTGACGGCCTGCAGAGAACTTGATTCCGAAATCTCCCTGTAAACAATCGTTCTTTCTCTGAAAATTCTTTCTTAGTTCACAATGAAATCCCCCTTTTCTTTTTATCCTGTCCACCTGTGAAATCGGGAACGTCGATCGCTACCCTACCCTCTTCATAGCATTTCCTCAGATCTTTTTCTCTGTAGTAGCTTATGTCATTTAGATATTCTTTGTGTGAGGAACGCAGGAAGACTGTTCTCTGTTCCTATTTTTATTCATCCTCACCCAGGTTTTTAGTGTGTTATCCAGTAGATTCTATAATTCAAGAGTGATTTGCATTAAAGCAGTTGCTTTTGTTTTGGCTTATCTTAGATCTTATTCATATTAATTAACTGTACATATTAATTAGTATGTTAAGATTTTATTATTTCATATAGGACAGCACCTTGCACATATAACATATGTTCAGAATTATTCACGTCTTTTTTCAGGCCTTTTTTTTAAAATTTTTTATAAAGGATTTTTTTATTGATAGATTTCTATATAAAACTGCAGCTACCGGTTCTTGAGGGAAAACATATGTATACATATGTAAAATATATGTATGTTTTAAGTTGACATTTAATTACATATTTTTACTTTTTGTTAAAGTTTGATCAGAAAGATACTTCAGTGTCATTTACTCCATTCCGTTTAGCTTCAAAATAGATTGTGTTCTGTTTAAATTCCATTACATTTAATATTCCTTATTCTTTAGGATATCTTTCAATGTTGTGTGAAATCCTTAATTTGAACTTCAGCTGCTCTTAATCTTTCAGAACTGAAAATATTGTAATTTAAAATTCCTTTTTCTTAAATGTAGGAATAAAAAGAAAAAAATTCCACTGATGAATGGGGAAGAAGTTGACATGGATCTTTCTGCAATGGAGTAAGTTAGTTATTTAAGTTTAAGAACATAACATTTTCTGCATTCTCACTTGTCTCATTATGTACATCTAAAAGTATGTAAATAATGTCCTGAAATTCGTGCTTTTAAAACTTTTGAAAGGCAGTGAAACCTTTATTAAAAACATATTAAAAACAAATCCTACATAAAATCATATACAATGGAATGCTATGCAACCATAAAAAAGATGAAACTTTACTATTTGCAACATCATGGGTGGATCTTGAGTATGTCATGCTAAGTGAAATAAGTCAGAAGGAAAAGGACCTGAATCATATAATTCACTCATATATGTGGGATATAAAACGAAAGGCAGCAAATGAACAAACAACAAACTCATAAATGCGAACAAGAGAATATTGGTTATCAGCGGGGTGGGGTTGGGGGAAGAAAAAAGGCGTAAAGGAGTCAAATATATGGTGACGGAAGACTAGACTTTGGGTGGTGAGCACACAGTGGAGTATACAGATTTTGTATTATTAAGTTGAATACCTGAAACATGTTATTAACCAATGTTACTCCAATAAATTTCATTTAAAAAAATAAATAATTAAAGAGGGAAAAGCAAATCTAGCCTGGCCCAGGTAGAATTAAGAGGAAGTACAGGATGATTGTTGGGCAGGTATAGCTTTGGCTTAGGCAGCCTTCTTGCACCCCTGCTGACCTCTAGAGCAGTGCTTCGCAAACTGTATCATGCATGTCACTTATGGATCCTCTTAAAATGCAGTTTCTGATCCATCACTTCACTAGTGGGTCCTCGTCATTTGCATTTCTAATGAGCTCACAGGTGTTACTCTCTGTCTTTGGACAAGGTTTCACGGCACCTTGAGGCCCCCTTTAAATATAAGATAGTTCAAATTTTTTGTTCATCCATTTTGTACCTGTATACCTGTGTATTTTTTATAGAACATCGGTACTTATTTACTAACTTGGTTGCCATATATTATTCCTTTTTATATATCGTTTTTATAATTTTTCCATATCAAGTGCCTTGACTGTAGTCAGCACCTAATGATATTTGTTGAATTGAATTAATATTTCAGGTGCTGTCCTCTGATAAAAGTGTTGACATAGACTAGATTTTTAAAACTATGTTACTTTGAGAATTATTTGAGAGTAAATTTGTCATAATTTCAGAACTTCCTGTTTGAAAAGATCATCATGAGTCTAGCATTTTTAAAAAAGCATTAAAAGTCAATTAAATTAATTTAGTGAAATAAATCAATTCATTTCTTAGTCACAGGTTGATTTCCAATAAAGGGTGGCATTTATATCCAGGGTCATTTGTTAGGCTATAGGAAGTGAAACAAAGAAATTTGGGGCTCATTCCCCTTTTTCGCATCATAGAATCACAAATCAAAACACCCAAACTAATATTTTCAGGAGGAATTTCTTTGTGACAACTATCTTATTATCCTTAGAGGTGTTTTTGGCAAGATTGACATAGGTTAGATATTGTGGTAAGGTTGAAATATATTAAACATAATGAGAAAGTTGTCAGTGTGCTTAAATGCAGTGAAGCTCGAGGCACTATATAAAATTAAGAAATCAAAGAAATAAAAAACAAAAATTGCATTTTCTTTCAGTGCTGATTCCCCTTTGCTGTGGATAAGGATAGACCCCGATATGTCAGTTCTGAGGAAAGTCGAATTTGAGCAAGCCGATTTTATGTGGCAGTACCAGCTCCGCTATGAGAGGGATGTTGTTGCACAGCAGGAGTCCATTTTGGCCTTGGAAAAGTTCCCCACTCCAGCATCGCGGCTTGCGCTCACTGACATACTAGAACAAGAGCAGTGTTTCTACCGAGTGAGAATGTCAGCTTGCTTCTGCCTTGCCAAGGTGAGATTATGTACAGTAGAAAGAAGACAAGAGAAGTACTGCATGTTTGAGAAAACCCAGCAAACTCTGAAAATGAATTAAAATTTACCATAGTCTTTAATTTTATTTGGCATCTGGTCCCTTGGAAGGTTTTACCAAATTCTTTTTACAAGACTAATTTCAAAGAAACATGTTTTGATCTGAACATAGATAATGCACTAAAATTTTATAATTGTCAAACTGAGAGTCAAACTTTAAAACCAAAAGAATTTTTTACCTTTTTATTGACTTGCCAACCACATTGTTAAAGCAAAGAATGTATTTGGCAAGAAATTCATTGGTTTGAGTGATGTTTTACATTATAGCACATGAATTCAGTTCATCTGAATTATTCCACTGTGGTGATTACTTCATGTTGTTTTGGGCTTAGTAATCAGTATTAGTGTAATGTAATTTAAAATGATAGGTTCTATAATATAACATGCTAGAAAAGTTAATTTATTAAGAAAACTAAATATTTTTCTTCAGATGCAAAAAAACTGAAGGTAGAACAAATGAAAACCAGAAAAACGCAGACAAAAATTTGGCCAGAAATACTGGGTTCCAGGTATTTAAAAAGCATCTTGATAATAGGTTCATTCTTATTTAGTGACGCTCTTGACTTCCTCACTGTTAAATTTATTTGTCCAACATTTCAACAGATTATTATGGTTTAGATTTGTTTTATCTTTAATAATGAATGAGCAGTTCGATTCTTATATTCTACTCAGGTATATGAAGGAAAAAGATGATTTTCTTTGATAATCGTCTGCTAAAGATATAATTTCATGTCTTCTATAAAGATCATTGTGATTCTTGCATATTAAATTCTTAGCAGAACCATAAAATTTTTGACTTACTTAAAGTTAATTATAATTTCATTCTTTTCAGATTTTTTTTATATACAAGAGTATCAATAGCAAGATATGGGTTTTTTTGTAAGCCTTCTTACAGTCTAAAATATTAGTTGTTTCTAGCTGATAAATTTAAAATGTTAGAATTATATCTGCCTAAATGGACACACACAAACTTATTTATAATAGAAGCTTTTTTCCAAATATGTTTTCTTAAAACATGAAGAATGTTCCACTTTAGAAATTAACTTACAAAAAATATAAGTGTACATAAGAATTGGGGGAGTGAGTTTGTATATTTTCTTGGAAATGATAACAAAAAGCTAAAATGTATTAAATTTCTGAGAATCTTAAGTCGTTGAAAACTAATCCATTTGGACTGATAACTCTTAGAAAGCTGTTTTTTATTTATTTAAAAATATTTGCAGTGGCGATGGAAGTTGTTTTCTAATTATTTGCAGATTGCAAATTCAATGGTGAGCACATGGACAGGACCACCAGCCATGAAGTCACTCTTTACTAGAATGTTTTGTTGTAAAACTTGTCCAAACATTGTGAAAACAAACAACTTTATGAGCTTTCAAAGTTATTTTCTACAGAAGGTACAGTTTACTTCCTAAATTTCTGTATATCTCAATTTAACTTGGAGATTGTTCCAATAATAATAATAGATGTGTTTATTATCTTCTAAAAGGTTTTGCCTTTGTTCTTTTTTTCCTAAAATTTTGTCCAAAATTTTAATTGATTGTTCATTGATTTTTAAGAGCTGTAGGTAAGTAATTCACTATCTGAATTAATAATAAAGTAAATAGAAATGGATAGTTTGAGTTTGGGGCCGGTTGCATGGCGGGTGGAGGTATGGATAAGTCCTTGTGACAGCAGCCCTTCTGTAATGTGAACACTGTATCTGAGTCACAGACAATAGAGCACACAACTCTAGTTTCAGTCCCATTCTGCTACTCACTAGCATTTTGCATGAGGACAGTTTCTTAACCCTCCAACCCTCAGTTTACCAATTATAAAATTTATCTTTTTTAGAATTAAATAAAATCAAACATGTGAAGTGTTTTAGACTATATTTATCACAGTAAGTTTTTTATAAATAACAATTTAGAATGTGGCGTGATGCAGTCACTGTTCTAGGAAGAGATTTGAGAATGGCAGAATGGTTAGCATTTGGGCTATTTTGTAAAATGTTTTAGTAATTTAATAATAATGAAGGCAGAGATTAGATTAACTACATTGAAGTAGAATAAATAGAAAAAAACTAATGAAGCCTATTTCATGATATTGGTGTTGAAAAATACGAGAGAGGAGACATGTTGAGGATAAAGCAGGGCCGAGAAAAGGACATTTTGGGTTGTGTTTTGTATAGAGGGAAAACTTGAAGCATGTTTGGCACAGAAAGAGGAACCACTGGAGAGGGAGATATGAAATATTCAAAGGGAGGAGGTAAAGGTACAAATAGAAGATGGAGGAAATTCTGAAGGTCTTTATTAGTAGAGAGTGAGACGCAGTCGAGAAGTTAATTTTAGTAAACAAAAACCTGCTTTTTTCTTAGGCAAACGGAAAGCAAATTAAAAGTAAGTGAAATGATAGATGTTGAGGAGGATGTTACGCAAGTCGAAGTTTATTTGTGATGGAAACGTAAAAAGATTACCCAGCAGCATTGAGACGGCTGCTGAGCGTGGCAGTCATGGTATATTTATAGTGAATTTCATCAGCAGAACAGATTCAGGATGATCCAGATTCGGGGAAAGCGAGTACTGGTGTGATCAAAGAAGTCTGTGGCATTCATTTATTTTATTTTTAAGGACTGAAGATTTGATAGTACTTAAACATATTGCTCAGCCCTCTGTTGCCATTTCACTAATTTATAGTATGGAAGCAAGTTAATTTCTCTGTTTAAAAAATTATGCCCTTGTGCTTCCGTATACCTTAAATCAGTGTTTTATATTGGGAGTTGTGATGCATTAATGAGAAAGTGATGGAATCAGTTTGGAAGTTTTTGTTTGTTTTTTAAATAAAAGATAATTATTGGCAGTATCAGAGTATAACACATGTAACAGCGGTAGGTATAAGGTAATTTTTTTTTTTTTTACTTTGTAAACATGCTGTGAGAGAGAGTATGTGTGTGTCTTAGATTAGTATATAAAATATTGTAGGTCGCCATCAAAAAAGATGGAGAATGTATGCTTTTAGACCAGTTTATCATTCATATAATACTTCTAGGGGCAGAAAAGAGAGAAGATTAGTGCCTAAATTAAACTTGGCAGAACAGACATAGGACAGATATTTCTATGACAAAGATCCTTTCCTTTAGTTGTTCTTAGAGCATGAACACTGACTCTTGTTACAGTGTTGTAACACTGACTGTCCTGTTGCTGGTCCTTCAAGCAATCAAAGGAGCTACCTTCCTTTTTGCCCCTCAATTTAGAGGGTATAGTTATTTTGAAGCAGAAATGGGAATAGTCTGACTCTCCCTGTGTACTGGGGCCTATGATGTCGGTTCATCCACCTCGAGTTTAAATAGCTTTGTTTTACTGGTAGTCACGACTATGTGAGTCAGGTTTCTACCTTCTTAGGAAAGTTGCCTGTGAAAGTTTGGAGAGGAGAAAGTTAGGCTTAATTTTAGTTAATTTACCATTTTTCTTAAGCTGAGATGAGGTGGTACTAGAGAATTAGTGTCTTCTCAGCTGATCATTGAACTCTGTGTCTGCCACATGCCTCTAGCCACTATATCATTTAATCCTGAAAATGGTCATGAGGCATGATTACGAGGTTGTGAGGTTCCTGCTCAGTAAGCAACTAGCTAAAATAACCTGTTTTAATAGGTAGTAGAGTAGGAGTTGAACGATGGTGTACCTGATGTTAAAATCCATACCTTTACTACTGTCAAACACAGAACTGAATGATACCTATGTCAGCCCTAGAATAACCCTCTTTCTACATGTAATTCAGTGAATTGTAATGAGTTAATTTATATGCTTAAAAAAGTTTTGTTTTTTTTTTTTGCAGACTATGCCAGTTGCAATGGCTTTATTGAGAGATGTTCACAACCTTTGTCCCAAGGAAGTCTTAACATTTATTTTAGACTTAATCAAGTACAATGACAACAGAAAAAATAAGGTAAGATGCCTTAATGAATATTATAAAGCTACTCAGTGATACTTTGTTTTTAAAGAAGTATTTAGACTGTGAATTCATTGTTGAGTCCACGGTAATTGAAGTTTCTAGAGGTAGAAATATATGAACAGGATTTATTGTAATAACCAATGGATGAAAACCAAGATCATTTGGCTTTTAAATGTTCCTCTACCTGTTGTAACATCCCTTTGATTGAGCAAGAGCATGAAATAGAATATTCTGGATGTTTTAGTTTGGAAGAAAACTAAAATTTAATCCCAATTAAACGTAGTTATTAGCCATTTTATATAAAAACCTCTAATACATGCACATGTATTTCTAACATATTTCTAATCATATATACGTTTATGAAATTGCACTTAAACAAGGTGTGCCAAATATGGGTTGAACTATTCCCTATACCAAAAGATCATTGTTAAAAACATCAGTCAGTCTTTGCTGTATGCACTGATATAGATCCTTTCAATTTTTTTATTTTTGTAGGAAATTGTGCTGTACTAAATGCCCTCTCCCCACCCCAGTGTGTTCCACAATTTTTTTTTTTTTTTTTCACTTTATCTCTTACAACCTTGGGATGATCAGATAATCTAATTTGTCCAATTAGGATTATAGAATCTCTGAGAATTAGATGTGGTCTAGGTGGTAAATGTTATATCTGTTGATTTTTGTACTTTACCCACACTCCCTTCTCATTTTTTGATTTCTGAGTTCATTCTGTGATTCAAATTCTTATGTTTTTTTTTTTTTTTTCACTTTATCTCTTACAACCTTGGGATGATCAGATAATCTAATTTGTCCAATTAGGATTATAGAATCTCTGAGAATTAGATGTGGTCTAGGTGGTAAATGTTATATCTGTTGATTTTTGTACTTTACCCACACTCCCTTCTCATTTTTTGATTTCTGAGTTCATTCTGTGATTCAAATTCTTATGTCAAAAACAGTGGTTAATAAATGGGCTTTTGCTTTGTTGGCAAAGTCATTATTAGAGGTAACAATGAACTTTAAAAATACTTCAAGAAAACCTGTAAATGGTTTGAAAACAAAACTTGTATCATGGTGTACATTTGTGGAGTCTTTTTTCTTTGGTTTTGTTTGTTTGTTTGTTGTTGTGTGTCTTATTTTTTTTTTCTGCCCAGTATCTGGTAATGGGAATGTTTAGGGACTGTTTTGTCAATGTGTCAATGTGAGGTTCTGCCTCCACGGTGGAAGTCAAAACAGGGCAGGTTTTCCTTCTCTGTCCCTGGCAGTTTGTGTTGACGGTAGAATTAATTCACTTGCCCCATGTTCATTCCCAGGCTAGAGAATCTGATTTGCTGAGTTTAAGTCAAGCCACACCCAGATTGCCTTTCAATAAATTGCTTCTCTGGGGATATGGATTTAGGAATGAATTTTTTTGATGGTTTCCTCCTCCATTTTTCTCTTGCTAGAACTCCGATTGATATTCATGTTATGTCTTCAACACCAGCCCTCTAATTTCCTTTGTTCTTGCCTTCTTATTTTTTTCTTGTCTCTTACTTTTCACTCACAGTTTCAGGAGTTTTTTTCAGTTTTGTATTTTAATTTAATTTTGATCTTGATTCTCTGCATATTTTTTTTTTAAATATATTTTGCCATTGGAAAGCGTATCGTTGGTTATTTCTCAGACAATAATAGTGATAGGATTTTGAAATTCCCCCTACCCCTAGCCATTTTTTTTCCCCTTGAATCTATTTCCTCCAAGTTGCTTTTTCCCCTTTTGTTCCGGATTGTCTTTTTTACGTTGATGCTTTCTTCAAGTATCTGGTGATCTCTGTATTACAAGCAGGATTTGTAGACTCTGGTCTGCCTTTTAGAGGACTCTGTCTAGGTTACTATAAGAGTACCATTCATGTAGTAAATATTTGTTGAATAAACTAATATATTAGTAATTAGTGAATCTCTTTCACTTTTTTCCAGTGTGCGACTCTACACAAAGGACAGAGTTTGAGTACTTATCAGATGTTTTCAGATACACTATGGTTTTAAGTTATAAATATTTTATTAATTTTTGAACAGAAACATGAATTTTGTTATCTTATAATTGTTTTTTGGCTTAGTTTTCAGATAACTATTATCGTGCCGAAATGATTGATGCCCTTGCCAACTCTGTTACACCTGCAGTCAGTGTGAATAATGAAGTTCGGACTTTAGATAACTTAAATCCAGATGTACGACTCATTCTTGAAGAAATTACCAGGTTTTTGAATATGGAAAAACTTCTTCCAAGTTACAGACATACCATCACTGTCAGGTGATGACGATTCTTTACATTTTCTTTAAAGTTACTTGTTTCTATAGGAGAAATTTGTTCTCATTATAGAAAACTGGGAAATACAGTAAAGTTAAAGGAGAAAATTAAAATCTTATGATAAATTATTACTATATTATTTTGGAGAATGACCTTCTAATTTTTTTTTCTCTTATAACAATAGCCATTTTAAACTATTGAATATATCCTATATATAGTTTTTGCATTCTGCTTGTATCATAAATACTTTCTCATGTCATCAGAAATTCTTCATAAGCTTTATTTTTGATATCTGTATAATCTTTTATCCCATTGGATATAGTATAAACATCTTTTTACTAGGCTCTTTTAAGATAACTTCATTTCTTTCAACTTGTTTGTACATGGCTATCAAAAAATTCTATCTCTTTAGGAGTTTGCTAAAAAAAAGTTGATTCACTGTTTTAAACATTATGAACAGTTTGACTCAACATTTATTATTTTACTAAACTATACATTACTAAAAACTTTTGGACAAAATACTAAGTATAATGGTACCTGAAGTTGGATTTCTAAGTTTTAAAATTTGTGTTCTTTTAATAGAACTTACATATTTCTAATTTTTATGATTATTGTAAACATTTAATGTTATAAAATTAGAAGTTGGATTCAAAACAATTTTTCAGTTTACTGTTACAGATTAATTTCTAATGCCTGGCAGATAAGTTTGATTCAAAATACTTTAACAAAAGTGTTTAACTGTAAATACTGTTCTCCTAGTTGTTTGAGAGCCATACGAGTGCTTCAGAAGAATGGACATGTGCCAAGTGATCCAGCTCTTTTTAAATCTTATGCAGAATATGGCCACTTTGTGGACATTAGGATAGCAGCTTTGGAGGCAGTTGTTGATTATACTAAAGGTAATGCTTTAGTAATATATACTCTTATCATTTTAGAAAGAAATGTTTACTGATTAAAACCAGCCTTAGTTATTGTTTTCTTTTATTATGTACAAATACAGATATTTTAATTTTAAGTTCTTGTCTCACTGATTTTTGGTAAATGTAGAATTCATATAAGATTTAATACGTGAGAGAAAAGAATAAAATTATAGATGTCTTTGGTCTTTTCAGGAAGTCAGTATATCATTCTTACAGCTTTTAATTACATGTTATTTTAAGAAATAGATGATTGGGGGAAATTTCTAACTATATAAGAAGGATTCTAGAAAACATCTTGCACTTCTCAGTTTTATATGTGACAGTAGAGCACGGGACATAAACAGGAGCTTCAGCAGGGGGATTAGGCAAGGGTTCATGAAGTTGAAAAATATAAGGCCAAAAATAGCTAAGAGAAAACTGCATATTAAAACATTTTCAGAAATACAGAGAGAAAGATAAAGAGATGAAAATATATATTTAAAAAAATTAAGTTATGAAGAATGGAGCAGGTGGAAGAAAAGCAATAATCCAAGTAGTAATAGAATACTTTGATAGGGTGTAGATGAAATTTACCTAAGCTGGAATCTCATGAAATTAAAAATTTTAAGATTAGGAAAAAAATGTGTAAGTTCCTAGAATATTAGAACCCAGTTATTGTACAAAGTAAAAGAATGACTTCTTTTGACTATGAAGAGTTCAAAAGACAGTTTGGGGGAAGTTATGATCTAAGATTCTCTACTTCGCTAAGTTGTTGCTCATATAGCCTTGAAGGCTTAGAAGTACATTTCCTATGTAACATTTTAAAAAATGAAATTTCCAAAGATAATTTTCAGCTGATCTGGAAATGAATCAAAGTAATAGTTCAAGATTGCTAAATGTGTGAAATGAAGACATAGTGCTGAGCAACTATGCCTGTAAAATAAAGAGCTAAGCTTAAATATTCATTAATATGGTTGTAAAATTTAATGCAAATTTTAAAAATAATTATTTAAAAATAATTTACAAATGTAAGAGATATGTAAATTACATCTAAAATTCCAGATTATAGCACTAAAATATGGGAAGAGTAAAGACGTTAATGTTGAACTTCTCATCTGATTGTGGAAAGAGAGGAAGAAGTGAGGGAAGTTCTTCAGTAGAAATTGGTTAATTTTTATTTAACAGTAGAGGAAAATATAACTCTAATCTTTCTAATTTTTGTAAATTTCAATAGAAATACTTATGTATAGTTAGAAATTATAAAAGGGTAAGAGCAATATCCTGTGTATATTACATACGATGGTCTGAGTTCAGAAAGGACTGTCATTTGTTCTTCTTTTTTATTGAGGGTTAAAGTATTCTTTCTTTTAATAAATGATGGTGAAAATAGTTCTCCTTTTAATGAATTTTTTGGCAAGGAAAAAAAAATTTTTCTCTATCCGTCTCCAGTTTGGTTTTGACATTTTACCAATTCATGAAATCTAGAAGTCTCGAAATCTACTAAACATGTCAGTATTCCCAATCTTTTTTCCAGGGTATATGAATGATGTTCAGTGTCACATAAATATGAAGATTTTGTGAATTAGTACTATCTGAAATGAAATAGATTGCTAATATTATGATTTCCAAAAGAACACTAAATAAGTATAATTTAATTGAGAGGTATTTAAAGTGATCCATGAATTTTAGATCATTTGAAAATGAAAAAATAGGAAATGGTAGAAATAAAATTCTGAAAATAAAGCTTTTCAAGTCAACAACAGAACTTGTTAAAAAGGTAAATGGAAATAGCTAATGAGTCATGTTGGTTAAGTCAGTTATATTTATAGCACTGTTTTTAATTTTCTTTTATGTTTTGTTGAAAAGTTAAAGCTGCCTTTTAATCAGATGAAAGAAACCACTCGAGCAAAAAATATAGTTGAGATACTATTGAGTATCAGACCTCTCTATAATTTGATTTAAGCACCTAGAAACACAATTTTATTTAAACACAATTTTGTCCATTTAGAGTTAGTCATCTCTAATTTAGGGCTCTTAATAAATAAATTATAATTTGCTTTATGTTATATTTGCCATTGATTTGCCTTTAGTGAAAAATATACATTTTGCTCTTCTTTTATGTTTTGGCTATATATAACACAATACTTAAAAAATTTATAAAATTTACAAAGTAGCCTATTACATAAAAAAATATAAAGAAGTTTTCTATAGCTTAAAGTACAAAGTAGGGAATATAATCAATAATATTGTTATAATTAATGCTAGGTGGGAACTAGACTAATCAGGAGGATCACTTCATAAATCATAAATGTCTAACTACTACACTGTTCACCTGAAACGAATATAAAATAATATCGAATGTCAGCTGTAATGGGAAAATAAAAGTAATTTAAAAAAAAAAAAGAAATTAAATATTTTGAGGAAAAAAATGTCTACAATTTTCAACTCTGATTGAAATCAAGCTAAGGCAGTGTCCTAATAATAAGTGTAAACTCCTTGCTTATCACTTGTTTAGTTTGTTGTAACTGCAACAAATATATTTCCTTATTTTTATTTTCAGTGGACAGGAGTTATGAAGAACTGCAGTGGCTGCTTAATATGATTCAGAATGACCCTGTACCCTATGTAAGGTTAGTTTTTATACTATAATTTTTTTATAAGTTTTAAAGTAAATTGCATAATTTCAGAAAATTATACATGGAACAAGTCTTTGTTATTTTTGAAAATAGGAATATGTTATGCATTTATTCATGCCCTTTTAAATTTGATTTTTTAATTTGATTTGCCTTTGAAGACATTTAAAAAAATATATTGTTAATATAGCTTATTCCCTGTAATTTTACATATAATTTCTATTGTAATTTAAAGAAAAGCTTATGTAATAGTTTGTAGTGCACATGGAAGATCCCTTATATTTCCAAAATTATGAAACCTCTGTACTGATTGATTTCATTTATTTTAGAAGTAATTGAAAGCAATGTTTTGGTGTAGTCCATTTAATCCTCTCTAGCTCATATAAAATCTTAAATTTTATTAAACATATGTTAAATATGTTATATTTGCAATATGTAATATATTTTATATG